CTGTCCTTACCCCCAGGTACGCCGCGGCCGCCGTGATCGGCTCCCCCGGAGGGGGGAGTGGGGGGAGTAGAGCGCAGTCTCGGGAGTAACCCCCGGCCTGCGAGGGGAGATGGGGGTATGTGACGAGTGGGGCGGGGCCGAGAGCCGTGGGAACAGAGCGAGGCCGGTGGAGTAAATGATAATGAGCGACACCTGCGCCACACACCGGTCGAGTCCCACGGAGGAGCTCCGGAAGGATAAAAGGAGGAGTAACGACCACGAAGGACGAGAGAGGACCAGGCCTGGACTTTATTTTATTGTTTTGGTTCTGTTTGTGCTGACGAGAGAATCTGTGAATGCAGATTCAGAATTCAGTCAACCAGCTGGACTCCTCCGCAGGGCTCCAATCAAAACGCCTCTGATCAGAGTTCCTTTAAGACGCACTTCGACCTTCATTCTGATCGGATGAAAGAATCATCCCATTTAAAGCCTGAGACACACTGCACGATTTTCGGCAGATGAAAGATTGGCATCGTGAAGCAATCGTTGCGATTTCTGTGATCGTGGCTCCTAATCGGTGCTCATGTCGTACAGTGAGGGAGGTTCAAAGATGGCCAGATGGTCTTGTGATTAAAGATTGCCTACGATAGTTTTCTGACAGTGTCAAAAATACAGCATGATCATTGCACAGTGTTTGCCGTTACGATCCACGTTAACTGACACCAATAAAAATGCGACATGAACTCAACATGACATGGCGCTAAAACATAAAACTGCTTACCTCAAGTTCCTTGACTGCTTACTGCCTTCCTCTTTCGCCGCTTCCACTTTTTTTCAGCACACATAAAAACGACAACTGCTAAAGTGTGATTTACCATTCTCTTTTTGTTTATTACTAGCACATGCTGATGACGTTTTATTCTTCTATAGTAATGTGCGTGCGTCGTAGCGTACAAGTCGATAGGTGTCATCATTGTACAGTCTACACACATGTCGTACCAAAGTTTATTAGATCCATGTAGTGATCTTACAGGATAGCTAAAATCATACAGTGTGTAGCAGGCTTAAGCGGTCACTGTCCTCATCAGTGTATTTAAGCCCCGTGTGGTTTAGCACATGCTAATCTAACAGTGTTTCTCGACACACTCACCACTGAAGCCAGATCCGGCGTGAGTGACGATGTCCAGCAGGGTCTCGGGCAACACGCCCTGCTCTCGGAAGCGCTGGACGAAGATGTCTCCCTGTCTCTTGGACAGCTTGGTGCCATCGCGGTTGAGCAGCAGCGGCAGGTGTGCGTAAGCGGGCGGCGTCCAGCGCAGTGCGCGGAACAGCTGCAGGTGTTTGGCAGTGGAGATCAGCCACTCAGAGCCGCGCAGCACGTGACTGACGCGCATAGCGTGGTCGTCCACCACACTGGCCAGGTGATAGGTGGGGAAGCCGTCAGCCTTCAGGATGACCGGATCTCCCTCCGCTGCCGCCGGATTGTGCCGTGTCCAGCTGAAGACCAGGTCCTGGAACACCTCTGCGCCGGAGTCCAGCTTGAAGCGGATCACACACGGAACGCCCTGAGCCAGCTTCTGCTGCACCTGCTCCGGCGGCAGCTCTCGACAGCGGTTATCATACCTGCGGAGACGGAGGAGACAGGTGTGTGACGGAGGAGAGGAGGAGGAGACAGGGGTGTGAGGGAGGAGAGACGGATGGAGGAGAAAGGGGTGTGACAGAGGAGAGACGGACGGAGGAGACGGGTGTGATGGAGGAGAGACGGAGAAGAGACAGAGGAGACAGGGGTGTGATGGAGGAGAGACGGAGGAGACAGGAGTGTGATGGAGGAGAGACGGAGGAGACGGGTGTGATGGAGGAGAGACGGAGAAGAGACAGAGGAGACAGGGGTGTGATGGAGGAGAGACGGAGGAGACAGGAGTGTGATGGAGGAGAGACGGAGGAGACGGGTGTGATGGAGGAGAGACGGAGAAGAGACAGAGGAGACAGGGGTGTGATGGAGGAGAGACGGAGGAGACAGGAGTGTGATGGAGGAGAGACGGAGGAGACGGGTGTGATGGAGGAGAGACGGAGAAGAGACAGAGGAGACAGGGGTGTGATGGAGGAGAGAAGGAGAAGACAGGGGTGTGATGGAGGAGATACGGAGGAGACGAGTGTGATGGAGGAGAGACGGAGAAGAGACAGAGGAGACAGGGGTGTGATGGAGGAGACAGGTGTGTGACAGAGGAGAGACGGATTAGAGAGGTGTGTGACAGAGGAGAGACGGATGAGAGAGGTGTGTGACGGAGGAGAGACGGATGAGAGAGGTGTGTGACAGAGGAGAGACGGAGGAGAGAGGTGTGTGACAGAGGAGAGA